TGCATTTCCTCCGCTCCTCCCCCCAGGATTCTTTAGCGGAACTAATGAGCCTTAAAGCATCTTAAAGCTCTTGAAAAAGTATAAAGCATGGTGAGAATGAAAAACATTGTGAACTCCTCAAGGAAAGAAGAAAGAAGCATGTCTTATACTCCTGGCCTTTATTAAATGCCTACTGTGGGGATGATTATTCCTATTAAATGAATCAGGCATGTGTCCGTACCAGTGCATCTAGGGTAGTGCACGTGATTAGACGTGCCATTTGAGGGGTGGCAACTGGCTACTCAAGTCCTGCACACTGTTGTTGTCATGGGAATTAAGGGCCCACTGTTGCCATATTGTCCATTGTTTTCTCTTTTTTAAAATATATTTTGTTGTTGTTGTTTTAAATATATTTTTATTGATTTCAGAGAGGGAGAAAGAGGGAGAAACATCAATGATGAGAGAGAATCATTGATTGGCTGCCTCCTGCACGCTCCCTGCTGGGGATCAAGCCTGCAACCCAGACATGTGCCCAGAATCAAACCCAAGACCCTTCAGTCCGCAGGCCGATGCTCCATCCACTGAGCCAAACCAGCTAGGGCTAAAAATATTTTTATTGATTTGCAGAGAGGAACAGAGAGGGAGAGAGTAAGAGAAGGATCGATGTGAGAGTGGAACATAGACCTAGCATGCCCCCTATCAGGGATTAAGCACAACCCAGTCATGTGCCCTGACTGGAGTCAGGTAGAATTGGGTTCAAGACTCAATTCTTGCATCTGTATAATGTGGCCATTTAATGAAAAAGGTAAACTCAGAAGAGTGTCTTAGTGTTGCTGCCTCCTATTAAGGAGAAATGATGATAAGTAGAAGTTTCTATGGTTCTTTTACTTGACAGTGTAATAATAGAAAGTATAATAACATAACAAAAGTGGAATTTTGTAAAATATATAGTTGAAAGTACCTTACTTAAACTTTTTTCGATGTTTTTACATATGCCACATATACTCATAAGGACTCTTGAGTGCCAGTAACAGTAATATTAGTTCAAACTAGCTTAAATAAGAAATGGAATGGCTTGTCCCTCAAAACTGAAAAATACAGATGTAAGGCATGTTTCAAACTCCATTGCTGTGGATTCTCTGCTTCTCCCCCATATTGCCCTAGTACTGGCTTATGACAATATGGCTTCAGCAGATCCAGACCTCTCATCCGTATAGCACATGGACACCCTCTGCCATTGAACCAGAGACCTGAGCTACATTTTGATTAGGCCAATCTCAGATCTTACACCCAGCCCTGAACCAGTCACAGTGGTGAGGAAAACGGGAGTCAGTCGCACCCCAATTTCACCAAATGAAGGCAAGTTGGCTGCTGGGGGAAACCCAAAGTCATTTATAAGATATTATATATAATGTGTTCATAAGAAAACAAGCAGAAAATGTGCTAGTTATTGTTCCATTCTTAACCTCTCTTTGAAACTATTGCCATCTGTGTGTTTTGTTTTGTTTTGTTTTAAATAGCCTTATTTCAAAATATTTGACAAGGATGGTTTGATTCCTGCTTTAAAGATATGAAATTCATCCAGCTGGTGTGGCTCAGTGGTTGAGCATTGACCTATGAACCAGGTCACCTATTGAGATCATAGTTCAATTCCCGATCAGGGCACATGCCTGGGTTTTGGGCTCGATCCTGGTTGGAGGATGGGGGTGGGAGACGAGCCTGCAAGAGGCAGCCAATCAATGATTCTCTGTCATCACTGATGTTTCTATCTCTCTATCCCTCTCCCTTCCTCCCTCTAAAGTCAATAAAAACATTTTTTTTTAAAAAAAAGTTATGAAATCCTAAGGGTTTAGTCATATGATTTGGGTCTTCAGCAACTCACTTCTGTCCTAGCAACATCAAGATCAATGTTTTAAAAACTATGAGTCTGAATTGCAGCATATTAGATCTAGTGATTGTATTTGGAAGTGACATTTGGCCTTCCAGCATTGTTAATGTTGACATCCTTTGAGGGAGTCTTGTACATCAATGCCATACCAAAAATGTTTAAATATGTATTTTCTTACAAGAAAGCTTTGCTGCTTTTCAACTTAATGTAACAACTATCATCTTAAAGTTGATTGATGTTCTTATGTATAATGTAGCCTTCATAATATGATTTAGGCTAATCATAAGGTGTTATAGACGAGTTCAGAAATATAATGACCTCTTTTAACCTGCAAGTCCTTGCAAATAAAGTCTTAATCGCCTAATGAAATAAAACTGAGCTATTAATGCCAGAAAATCTGTCAAGAAGGGTTTTATTTCTATTTTAAGTATACAGATTCTGAAGAGTTGTTATAATTCCTTTTTATAGGTCTTATAGTTGCAATTATATAATTAAACCTTCCTATCATGCTTAACACTTGTTTCCTAAAAAAAACTTTAATTTAGCACTGAAAATAATGCCATGCCTTATTGAGATACACGAGATTTCTAACTCTTCACAGGATCACAGAGATGTAGAAAATATATAAACTTTACAGCTGCAAATTTTGTGTTCCCTTTGTTGAAATTATCACCTCCCCTCCTTTCGTAACCTTTAGTACTGACTTTTCTACCATTAACGTTTATTCTTATTGCATGCAACTTATAGCCAAGTACGAACTAGAAAGGGCAAAGATATTTAAGATCCCCTCCTCAAGCTAAGGTTACTCACTGTAAGAATGTCCTTCATAAATCAAAACTGTGCATTAACTTCCTTGAAACAGCCTGTTTCCATTTCCTTGGGGAAGATGAAGATGACACAGCTAGCTTAGAGACTTTTCATTAGACTAATGCTCTCTAAGTTGGGAAGTGATGCCATCTCTGCCGCTATGAAATAGGGAACAAAGAAAAACTGAGTAAGGAGGGAGGAGAGAGAAACCTGATGACTTTTTGCATTTCCTAAGTGTAGGATGATTTAGTTTAAGTTTCAAGTATTATGAAGTCTCAAATCAGCAGATATTGGGTTGTGCTTTCCAAAGCATCTGTGTTGAATGTTTTGAGCAGAACTTTAGGGAACTTTTTTTTTTTCTTTCAGCCATAACTGCCTGGCTCCTGTTGTGACTTTGTGAAGTGGCCGTGTTAACATCTGGGTGCATTTTGGGGAGGTACACATAACGTTTGAGGTGATGTTGCATCTCGTCAGGGAGAACGTTACCTCATGCTTCTGTACCCTCTGCCTACAGGGAGGGCAGCTGTATTTGGTAATGGGAAGTGGAACTGCAAAATGTGCCCATCTTATCGCTTCTGTCTTCATTCACCATGGGAGGGAGGACTTTCCAGCCTCCCCTAGGAAAATCTCTGCTGCTGGTTACGAAAGTACAAATTTACTGTTTATCCAATTGACATTATTTTTAGGTCTGAAAAAGTAGATATCTTAAAGTTAAACTATTCTGCTTGGAATGAATAATATTTACTTATAAATACTTCTTTGAACTAATGCTGCATTTTTATGAGAGACTTTTTTCTTAGAGGAAAACTGCTTCTTTTTCTTTCCCTCAGGAATGTAATAAGACATCTCTGTTGCTCTGTGAGCAATCAGACATGCAAATAGCCCCTCAAGAATCAAGCTAATTTTAAAGAGGACTTACTTAGAAACACCGGAGAGTGTATCATGAAGTTCAGACTTGAGGGGAAAGAAAAATGCCAACATAGCTTGAATTTACTAAATAAAATTAAGAACATGAGAGAATTAGCAGAAATGGTAGATGTGGTCCTCATAGCAGAAGGAGAGACATTTCCTTGCCACAGATTGGTCCTGGCTGCCTTTAGTCCTTATTTCAAAGCTATGTTCACCTGTGGACTAATTGAATGTACTCAAAGAGAAGTCGTGCTCTATGACACCACAGCAGAAAGTGTGTCAGTGATATTAAATTATATGTACAGCGCGGCGCTGGAGATCAATAATTCCAACGTACAGACTGTAGCTATGGCTGCCTACTTTATGCAGATGGAAGAAGTCTTTAGTGTGTGTCAAAAATATATGATGGACCACATGGACGCCTTCAACTGTGTAGGTATCTATTATTTTGCAAAGCAGATTGGAGCTGAAGATTTATCTGATCAAGCCAAGAAATATTTATATCAGCACTTTGCGGAGGTGAGCTTACATGAAGAAATACTAGAACTTGAAGTGCACCAATTTCTGACGCTTATTAAATCCGATGACCTTAACGTTTCCAGAGAGGAGAGCATTCTGGACTTAGTTCTGAGATGGGTAAATCATAACCAAGAATTGCGCAAAGAGCATCTTGTTGAGCTTTTGAAGCAAGTCAGATTGGAACTTATAAATCCTTCTTTTTTAAGACAAGCCCTAAAGAGGAACACGATGCTCCTATGCGATGCAAATTGCATTGACATCATTCAAAACACATTCAAAGCCTTCAAGACACCCCAACCACACCCTCTAAATCTCCGTTACGGCATGGAGACGACTAGCCTTTTGCTTTGCATTGGCAACAATTCTTCGGGAATCAAGTCAAGACGTAGGAACTATGGGGATGCCAGTTTTTGTTATGATCCCGCGCAACGGAAGACCTACTTTATCTCCTCTCCCAAGTATGGGGAGGGTTTAGGAAGCGTGTGCACTGGTGTTGTCATGGAAAACAATGCTGTAATTGTGGCTGGAGAAGCAAGTGCCTCTAAACTCTCTAGACAAAAGAACAAGAATGTTGAAATCTATAGGTTTGTATCTAGCACTGTAGTTATGTTTGTTTTTATTATCTTGCTTTGACATGAACAACAGTGGCAGAAAATACAACTGAAAGAATGATCATATCTTAAATATCATGTAGTCAAAATTATCCTGTAATTACACATTTTACATATATGTAAAACTCATCATTAAATCACCCATACTTAAAAAACTTTTCTCTCCATTTGTTAAAAACATATAGTTGAATTTGCATTAAGTTAAATGTACGTTGTGATTCCATTGTATATTTTCATTCTTTCCTTATTTATCAATATACAATACTTTGTTTTTGAAGAGCGTGATATAATTTTTAACCAGAAGAAAACTTTATTTCTACTGATTCCTTTGAGCTAATTTATTTTAGTTCCTGCTTCAGAGTACTAATTTTTTTCTCAAACAAAAATTACTAGTTATATGTCACTTTTCATTCTTATATATCATATAAGAATGAAATCCTTCTCATCCTTAATTTGTGGATCTTCCCAAAACCTCCAACAGTATAAAATGTTTGTAGCCCAAGTAAGAGTGCTTCAATCCAAGAACTGTAAGAGGAACAAGAATGTCTGCTAAGAAGTAGCATATCGCTTAGGTCTTGTATGTGAGGACACATACATCGGTTTACTATTCATTTGGCAAGTATTCCGTGAGTATTCAGTTCCTACATCTAACTGGGTAAGTAATAAATATGCACATAGAATACATACTGGACAGTAAAGCTCTCCTTCAATATCTTTCCCCTCTCAATACTCTCTTACCAGGGTTTGTTAAGACTTTTCCATCAGAAAGTAATTCTTCTGGACTGTGAAGTTTCGACAAAGAAAGAATCTTATCTTTCTGTCACCTCTTAGCATCCCATGTCTCAAGCTATAGACCTGCCCCTTTTTCACATTCATCCTTTGGAGATGAGTTCCATCCCCCTTAGTAGAGAGAGGGAAGGGAATGCGGAGCCCTGGATAAGTGGCCTGGGCCTGTGCCCCTTGTGGCAGAGCATGCCACGGAGCAGAAGGAGCAGCCTTCTTCAGAATTACCAGGTAACGACTGGAGAGCCAGGATATCCATTCCTACTGGAGAGGAAGCGTTGGCTTCCCCAGCATGATTCTCATAGTTCCATCCACTTGTTCTATTTGGTCTTGGTTAGGTGCACTTCTTTCCACTTGAGAGCCTCTTGCTAAAAGTGCCTCAGGTTCTTTAAATAGCTCCTTTCTTCCTGATCAAGATAGTCCACAAAACTGCCATGACAATTTTTTTAAAATTTATTGTTGACAGTATTACAGATGCGCCCTTTGCCCAGCCCCAGCTCCACCCCAGGCCTTCCCTTCTGTGTGCATGGGCTATGCATATATGCATATGTGTTCTTTTAATAAATGTCCAATCCTATCAAAATGTGTTTCTGTTTTAGTCCTCAAACATCTTACCTCTTTACTTTTTTGAAAGCCTGCTTTCTTTCTTACAGCATATATCTATCTTATCTCTCTATCTTGAACTCAACCAGGTTCCCATCACTAACCAGTTCCTCCACATGGGTCAGAATTAGGGTAAAAATATCAGTTACCCTCTTCATTTCTTTCAATAATGAAATTGTCAGCAAGGCAAATAATGAAATTATCAGAAGCACTGCTTTGGGTTTAAATGATACTTTCAGCAGTTGTCTGAATAATTAAAATCTTACAGCACTTCTGAAGGTCACTTTAGTGCCAATTTTGTGAGATGTATAAGAAATCAATTGTGATATATTCCTGCTATATTATCCCTGTTTCTTAACCCTTTTATATTTTTTCAGATGCTCTTCAATTTGTTTGCACTCTGTACTTCATAGATTTTCATGCAGATATATATATATATATATATATATATATATATATATATATATATATATTTTTTTTTTTTTTACTAAAAAAGAAAATAGATTCATACTCTAGTCAGTCATTTCTTTTCAAAAACATATACCTTTCCATCTCCTTTACTTATTTTCCATACTTCGATATACAGCTGAGGTTGTGTATTGTTTTTAGACTGCCAACCTCTGAGGACATTGAATGTTTTGTCACTATTATTTTCTTTTTTATGTATTACCCATTTTTTCTTAATAAATTTTAGTGTTTTTTTAATTTTTATGATTTTATTTGAGCCAAAACTGATAATTGCTAGGAAGCAAGATCTCAATCCTCCCAAATTTTAGTTTTTTCTGGGCATTTTTTTCTCTCCATTCCCAGTTCAAAATGTTAAAAATCAAATTAGCAAGTTGCCCAGCAAACATGTACATCCCAACCTTCACGGGATGTTTTCTTGAATCATGTCTCAGCAAACCGAAACGCATTTTTTAGTTCTTCATGTATATTCATTCATTGGCTTTACTTTGGTAGCCCCCCTTTTTCTTATAAAATCCAGTACAATTTAAAATGGTTGGCGGGGGAGGGGGGTGGAGATATCTGTAATACTATCAACAATAAAAAGTATATTAAAAACAATAAAATAAAATAGTGATTCCCCTGTGATGCTAGGGGCTCTGGTTTCCTACCTAAAATTTCATAGAAGTCAGCCATCGTGAGGTTTGATAAATGTCTGTGCTCAGTTTGGACAAGCCAGCCATACTCTCTAGGAAAGGAGTATAAACTTCCAACTTCTTGGTTAAGCTTAAAGTAAAAAGTCATTTCTGGGGGAAAATGAAAGAGTTGACCTTAAACAATAGAGAAAAACTCCTATCAAGTTGACATTTGATCATATTTATATATGATCAAATGCCAATGTTTGAAGCAAAATCAGTAGTCCATACCTTAAAATTGTATTCCAATTCCAACACAAACATAAATTTTTCTTTGTTTCCAAACAGAACAACTTTTTTTCTTATTTTCTATATTTTATACTTTTCGTTGTTTTGTTTTGTTTTAGCTTTGAACACATTCTGGATTTTCTAGGACAGATCTAATATCACACATTTTATCCCACTGTCCCCATAAGTACTTTTGTCCTTAGACTGTCCCAAATCAAGTTTGACTTACCACTATCAAGAGGATTGACAAAGTATAGCCACAAACTCATATATTCAGTGACTATAAAATGCTACACAAGTGCACGCACACACACGTACACACACACAGATAATAATTTAAAGTGTTGGACTTCTGGAGGAATTGAGAGATCATTTATCCTAATGTCCCTATCTCCCAAGATTCTTCTCAGGCTGACATAATTATTCATGGAAAAAATTACTGAAATTATCATATCTAAGGGATTAAAATAGATGTTAAATGCCCAACAGACGCCTGCAGGAGGATTTCCATACACCTCCAGGAGCTCTTGATGCTGTTCTAAGCCAGTTAGAACTGCAAGAACAATCTAAGTCTACACATCCTACATCGTCTCATTAGAAGTCATTAAATGGAGATATTTTCAGATTCTCTGCTCTAAAGCTTATTTCTTTAATGTAGTATTAAACTGAAACTTCCATTCCACAGAAGAGACTTTTTTTGTGTTTATTTTTACTTCTTATTCTCTTATGGCAAAGTTACAAATGATTTGCTGAAAGACAATTTCCTGTTGTCTGTGTGTTAATCCTCATCAGAAGATATTTTTACATTGATTTTTAGAGAGATTTGAAGGTAGGGGAGAGACAGAGAAAGAGAAACACCGATGTGAGAGAGACACACATCGATTGGTTGCCTCCTGCAAGCTCCCCCACCAGGGCCGGGTGTTGAGCCTACAACTGAGGTAGGTGCCCTTGACCAGAATAGAACCCGTGAACCTTCAGTCTGCAGGCCTACACTCTATCCACTGAGCCAGACTGGCGAGGCCTCCTGTTGTTCTTGATTTTCTTCCCCAGTCTTAGGAAATGAAGGCTAGTCCTGGATATTCTGAACTTTTTCAATATATTATTTTTCCTAAAATTCTGCCGGTAGGTGTGGTTGTTTCGATGCACATTATATTTTGTTCATCAGTCCTTGCAAAAAAAAAAAAAAAGCAAAGCAAAAAACACACCAAAAAACCTGTATCACTATCTTAAATTGATTTTTTTCCCCTTTCCAATTAGAAGAACTAAATCATATTATCTTAGTTGGAAAAGAAACTTAAGTGTGTTTCTTGGGTAGTTGTTTTCATGTTGACTCTAATCCTGACTTCTCGCTCTGTTAACTTACAGGTATCACGATCGAGGAAACCAGTTTTGGGAGAAGTTATGCACAGCTGAATTTCGAGAGCTCTATGCTCTGGGCACTGTCCACAATGACCTCTATGTTATAGGAGGACAGATGAAAATTAAAAACCAGTACCTTATCACAAACTGTGTTGATAAGTACTCCGTAGAACGGGACAGTTGGAAAAGGGTGGCTCCCCTTCCACTCCCATTGGCATGTCATGCTGTAGTGACAGTGAACAACAACCTTTATGTGATTGGCGGCTGGACCCCTCAGGTTAAGACATTTCCTATGTCCCAATTGGCATGGCTATGCTGAGTCTGGCTGCTATATTGGAAACTGTTGTGGCTGTTGTATACTAAAGGAGTATGACTTACTTTTTTTTATATATATAAAATATTTTTATTTTTCTAGAAAACTGAACTTAAGATTTTAAGTGTTAAAGCAGTTTAGGAGAGTGAATTTTTAAAATGTGTTATTCAGCCGAAACCGGTTTGGCTCAGCAGTAGAGCGTCGATCTGTGAACTGAAAGGTCCCGGGTTCGATTCCGGTCAAGGGCATGTACATTGGTTGCGGGCACATCCCCAGTGGGGGTTGTGCAGGAGGCAGCTGGTGGATGTTTCTCTCTCATCGATATTTCTCTCTATCTCTCTCACTTCCTCTCTGTGAAAAATCAATAAAATATATTAAAAAACAAAATATGTTATTCATAGACATGACTTAATTCAGTATTCATGCTGTATTCTTTTTTTTAAAAAACATATTTTTATTGATTTCAGAGAAGAAAGGAGAGGGAGAGATAGGAACATCACTGATGATAAAGAATTATTGATTGGTTGTCTTCTGCACATCCCACACTGGGGATCGAGCCCGCAACCCAGGCATGTGCCCTAACTGAGAATCGAACCGTGACCTCCTGGCTTATAGTTCCACACTCAACCACTGAGCCACACTGGCTGGGCTCATGCTGTATTCTTCATGATGCTTCCCATCTTTCTAATAATGAAAGATGCTTATGTTGAGGGATTATCTGTGGGGAGCATCTAAGGAGGAGGCAGAGAAACTGGGTCCTCATCCCAGTACTGTCTGCATAACTGCTGTGTGATATGAGGCAGGAACATTTTAAAGGTCTTTTCCACATTAAAAATTCCTACTCTAAGAGGGAAACCAGAATGCTCATTTCCACCAAATATATTGTGATTTTAAACACTTTGTGCCTTTGCTGGGCATCAGCAGATGGAGAAATCAGAATACTGTTTGTATTGAAGCCCCATGAAATGCTGGCAACCCAAAATTGGAAAGTCAATGGGGTGTGACCGCAGTGGTCGGTCCTTTATCTTCCCTTGGGTGTTCCTCGCAGTGCCGTGGCTCTCACAGGAGTATCATATCACTCCAGCTGCCTTTTACCCTGGCCATCTAGTCTTCCTAATAGAAATAAATCTTACGAACTCCTTGTCCACCCACATAACGTAATTGAATTTATTTTTGCCTATATAATTTATTTCTCCATATTTGCTTCACGATAAAACTGATGCTTTGCATTTATTTCATAAGCTTGGACTTTGCCATGCATATAGAATATCGTGCTCATTTTAAAAACTTAAGCTTTACATTTTAAATTTCACGCTCTGTATCAAAAAGACATACGGGTTTCATCACAAGTTATCTGTAATTACGTTTTTTCATAACTATTCATTACATTGTTAATTTCCCATGAATAAGCTCAAAAAAAGACAACTTAGAAGCTTTTCTTTACTTTTCTTTCACTATATTTGGAGATTAAATACATTAAAGGAAATACATTAGAAGGAAAATTTTAAGAATAAAATTAATATTTAATCATTTATATTATCTTTGAACAAATGGCATGTGAATATTTGTTGCATAACAGAAGCTTTTGCTAGTCTGTACCTAATACTATACATTAAATTGCAAGGTAACAAGGGTTTGTGATTGTAACCATAGTGATCATAACTCTTAATGCATTTAAAGTAATTAAAATTAATTGCACACAACTTTCACAAATATGGCAATTATTTCTGTGTTGAACACCTGCATCCTAAACAAAAAACAGAAAACACTTAGCATCCTTAGCCTGAAGTCATAGAAGTTCCTGACATGTTATAAAAAAAATTACTTCACCTGAAGCTTATGAGAAGACACATCTGTGTAAGAATAAACAGTCATTCAAGTTGTACTATCTCTAGTCAATAAAAAAAATAGATGTAAATAAAATAAAATAAACTGCAAATAATTTATATTAATCTATATATTTTGAAAACTGAATTCAGACCATTCCTATAAAGGTCATAATTATGGCGTTGAAACTATAAAGTTTTTGTAATTTTGTTCAACTTTAGAAATGTATTATTGATATAAGTAAAAATACCTTATAAAGTTTTAAAAATTGGGATCTCACTTATATTAAAATCCACCACTATAAAGTTTGGCAAAATAAAATTATACTTTAAATACTGCTTTAAAAAGCTTGGTTTCATTTTTTAGATGTTGCTTTTTTTAAAAGTGCTGTATTTTATTGTCTTATCTTTTTTAAAATATATTTTTTTATTGATTTCAGAGAGGAAGGGGAAGGGAGAGAGAGATTGAAACATCAATGATAAGAGAGAATCATTGCCTGGCTGCCTCCTGCACACCCACGCCCCTTTACTGGGGATTGAACCCAGGACCCTTCAGTCCACAGGTCGATGTTCTATCCATTTAGCCAAACCAGCTAGGGCTGTCTTATCATTTTTAATGCTGTATTTTATTGTCCTACTCCTAGATCATGGATGATTTGCTGTAACCCAATGCCTTAGCCCCATTGTTACAGAATAGAAATTCCTCTGATATTAACATGTACTTATAACCCCATACATATCATGAGATATGTATCTGTTGGAGAGTTTCAGTCGCTACACTTAACTTCTGTCTTTTGGCTATTTGATTTGATTAATTGCATTTATGTACTCACAGAGATCTTTAAATGGTGTATTATTATATTGGTTGTCATATCTCATGCAGATGGATCTTCCTGATGAAGAACCTGATCGATTAAGCAACAAACTGTTGCAGTATGACCCCAGGCAAGATCAATGGACAGAGCGGGCAACCATGAAGTACTCAAAGTATCGATTCAGTACAGCTGTAGTCAACAGTGAGATTTACGTCTTAGGTAAGAAGAAGCAGATTGCTAAAAGAATGTAACGACTTTTTCCCCCTCAGCAGTTTGCCTCAGTTAAAATATTCTCCCTTCCTTTTGCATTCCAGTTCAAATATGTACCTACTGTAATGAGTCAACATTTTTCTTTTATTTCTTGTTTTCTAGAGCATAGTCAGATAATAGTAAATGAAAATCTATTGACTTATTGAATGCAAAATTATTTTTATGGAATTTTTAAGTCCCTTGGGATGTAAGACTAGTAGTGATACATCCTTATATATATACTATTGATACCAGGAAAAAGGAGAAACAATTGTAATAATCTGAGCAATAAAGATTTATTAAATTAAAAAATACATTTTATTGATTTTTTACAGAGAGAAGGGGAGAGGGATAGAGAGTTAGAAACCATAGATCAGCTGTCTCTTGCACACCCCCTATTGGGGATGTGCCTGCAACCAAGGTACATGCCCTTGACTTGGGACCTTTCAGTCTGCAGTCCCGCAGGCGGCAGGCCGTCACTCTATCCACTGAACCAAACTGCTTAGGGTGAAAATGAGACTTTTAATAACATTCTTGAGAGTTGGCGTCCATGGTAGGCACACACATGAGGCAGGGAACATAGCCTATTTACTTAGTTCCTCCTCCGGTTCCTCATTGGCTGCATCCTATGAGACCACCTGGTTCCTCATACTTCGCCTAGGTCTTGCTCTCTTCTTTGGGCCATTAAAATTTTGGGCTGAGGCCTTTCTAGCTGTCTCCACCTTCCTTTGTTTAGGGGAATCTTTCTGGAAAGTGCGTTATGGGCCTCGTGCACAGCTCTCATGCCCTCTTCCCGCCCCCCACATCCTGTTTGCTCTGGGGAAATTCAGTAACCGCCTTGCCACATGCTGTTTCTTTACCTTTTTGTTTCTTTTCTATGAAGATGAATCAGAGGCATGTTTCTTACACACAGTTAACTAATAATTTAATCTTTGCAACAATTTATGAGATTGGTATTATTATTCTTAACTTATAGATGAGAGCATTGAGGCTTAGAGAAATTATATTGCCCAAAGTTGTCCAGCTAGTAAGTGGTGACACAGGCATATGAACCAGGGACTGTCTGTTTCCAAAAAGCCTGCATGCTTTTCCCGTGACACATGCGAGCCTACAACAGAAAATATATTTGCTAAATCTTGTTTCTAAAGCTTATTTAGCAGTGTAAGCTGCTTTAGGAGCCTGTCAGAATGATTACAAAATCCCCCCCTCTTCTGGATGCTTGCTACCTGAAGCAACCCTCCAGTCAGAAGGGCATCAAAACAGCACCAGAGTCTTCAAGGCACCGTGGATGGCAAGTCCTTGGAGCCAGTCAGAACAGGACAGCTTCTCCCCTACCCTCAGCCAGCTCCCTGCCAGGTTTTTCATGGGGATAGATCTCCCCAACACCTCACAGAAGGGATAGACTCTAAAACAGCCAAACACTAGAAGAGCAGGTCTTTATCTCTGTAGAAATGATAAAGAGAAGGGGGCCTAGTCTCTTTCATAACCCATCACACACACCAGGAAAACACTAAGGTATACATTTAGCATTTGAAGTCAATTTGGGTATGACTTTAAAAGGTAATTTCTATTCATTACTCTGTACTGGAATAAAATCAGGCTCGGGTCCTGATAGCATATTAATTAAAGATGTGGAGTTTCTCATTAAAATTCTAAAGACATACTGATCCTACCCTAGGATTCTTCTCATCAAGAGAGTTCTCTTGTAGTGCTGGTGCTGACTTATTAACAGAGATCATGCTTTTATTTGATTATTTATCTAATCAGGATTCTCCTCCAGTTTTAGCTCATTAAGTCTGCTGTTAATAATCTTGCTGAAAGTGTACTTGACTGTGGAATTACATCCAAGTGAGAGAGAGAATGTGTTCAGATATTAATGGTCAGAACAAGGACAGAACGCCTTATAAGTCCATGTTGCCCTGGAGTAGAGCATGTGAACAATCTACCAACCAAATAAAAAGGGCACATATGTAGCCCTGGCTGGGTGGCTCAGCTGATTGGAACATAGTTCCATATACCAAAAGGTTGCAGGTTCAATTCCTGGTCAGGGTACATATATAGGTTTGATCCCAGTCGATGTGTGTATGGGAGGCAACAGATTGATGTTTCTCTCTCTCTTCCTTCCTCTCTCTCTAAAAAGCAATAAAAACATATCCTCAGGTGAATATTAAAAAAAAAAAAAAAGAAGAAGAAGAAGAAGCCACATATATAAAAGGTTGGTTTTGAAGAGTAAGGGCTGACAATATATTTAAATACACTCAGTAACAGAGAAATAAAATGACAAGCATTCTAATTAGCCAAAAACCAAGAGATTAATGCCCATTCTTTGTATGCATTATGTTGGAGGAGCTTTTCTAATGGGCTTTTATGTGAAGCTTCTGAATGCATTCAGAATGTTGGTGCTCAGTGTTTGTGGCCTAGCTTCCAGGAACTTGTACGGTGGCTGTAATATGAACAGCAGAGCTCTGCAGTTCACCGAGGAAAGCATGTCCCTTCCTTGGAAACACTGCGGCTCAGACTTGGCACTAAAATGCACTAAATTATTTATCCAGCAAGATAAGAGAGAAAGTAGCTAAAAGCTTCCTGAGTTTTTAGCCTCCGTCTCTAAATTCATATTGAGATAGGAAACAGACCACCCTCCATCAGCAAAGAGAAAAAAAAGATTTCCTCCAAAGTCCTCTTCCATCACGGTTTATACCTGGCATAAGTCCCAACCATGGCGACCATCAGCTGTTCCCGGCAGCCTTGGCTTCGTTGAGTACTGAGTGGCAGGCACTGTGAGATCTAAGATGTGTAAAAAGTGGCCTCTGCCTTGAATGAGCTTACAAATACATTGCTTGGACAGACTGAGAGAAAGCATAGGAAAAGTTACGTTCCTCATTCATCACAGGTGTCAGGTACAGAGGATGCAGTACTGAAGTAAGATAAAAAATGCAGATGATGATGCAAATACCATCTGACTAGCGCAATGATAGATGAAAGGTGTTAAGTAACAGTATTCAGTAAGCGCCATGAGATCAGAGCAGCTCTTAGTTTAGCTTTGATACTGCTATAAACAACACAGCTAAGCACCAAGGACTCTTCCAGGACTCTCTCTACAGGAAAGAGAGCTACTTTCACCTGAGGCCAGCACTTTAAAGCCATTTTGTTGTTGTTGTTAATCCTCACCCAAGGATATTCTTCTCCCACTTATTTTCTTAGAAAGAGTGGAAGGGAAGGAGGGAGGAGGATGAGGAAGAGAGAGGCAGACAGACGAGAGACAGACATCACTGTGAGAGAGATACATCCATCGGTTGCCTCCTGCACACACCCCAACAAGGGTGGGGCTCCTGATACATACCCTAGACTGAGCATTGAACCTGCAACCTCCTGCTCCATGGACTGGTGCTCTAACCACTGAACCAAAATGGCCAGGCCCCCTTAAAGTCTTTTGAATTGATCATGCTGATCAGGGATATCAGATTGGGTATGCGTGGAATGAAGTCACTGATGAGAAGAGTGTCTGCAAGTGCAGGAGCAAGGAATTCACCTGTCTCAGGAGCCACATTTCAGGTCAGGAAATATGGTCCTGACATTTAAGAACTTTCACTGTGGGACTTCGGAGGAAAGAACAAAAATGATGGCCTACAAACTTGTATTATTATTACAGTCCATTAGAAATTCTTACACAAATACTTTTCTCAGAGAGGGTTGTACTGAAAGTCATACTTATGTACGTGCTATTTCTGTTACTTGTTATAGTCTCTGGACTTCTGAGTTTAATTGTACCTCTTTTAAGGTACCTGCCATGATAACCTCCATTTATTTGCATACATGGCTCTTTCCAGCCCAATAATTTCCTTTTTTAATATTTTCTTTTTTATTTATGAATGATAACATAAATGGTAACTTTTGTAAAATAAAACATTATTTGGATGAGTTCCTACTAATGATATATAAATTCTAATTGAATAAAAAAGAAGACCTTCACATCAAATCATGTCATGTGAGGGGAGTAATAACAATATTAGTCATTATTATTTAATGAACATGTATCATACTTCTCCATGGTGCTTATTCTTTGCATTTATTTGTTTGCTTTTAAAAAATTTATTCTTCATAGCAACCCTATTAAGTGGGTAGTATGTGTAATTGTTAATGGCTTATAGATAAGAGAAGTGACAGCCCATTAATTTCTTAGTGTCAAGAAAGATGCCTTATTCATCTTTCTAAACTCCTTATCACTTAGCACATTGCTGTTCATATATTAGGCAATTAGAAATTTCTTTTGAATGAACTGTATTATCCAAAAGTGGAAGATACACTGGGCATTTGGGTTTGAACCTTCTTTTTATCCCAAAACTTAAATTTACCAAATAATGGCCCTTTCCTAATAGGGAAATTAAGAGAACTCATGCAACTTAAGAAGAGAGGAAAAGGCTTGCAGTGAGGAATGGAAAAGACACACCCCTAGCCTGCAAGATTGGTGAAATCATTGCTAATGATCAACAGGAAAGCAGATGCCAGTCAAGTCACCCTCACATTCAAACCTGGAGTTCTTTTTTTTTTTTTTTAACATATCTATTTTTATTGATTTTAGAGAGTAAGGGAAGGGAGAGAGAGATAGAAGCATCAATGATGAGAGAGAATCATTCATCGTCTGCCTCCTGCACAAAGCCAATACCCTGAGCATGTGACCCGACCAGGAATGGAACCTTGACTTCCTGGATCATAGGTCGACGCTCATCACTGGAGTTCCTGTTCTAAAGGGAGTGCTCATTGTGTCAACCAATGTTGGATATTGTAGAATATGAAGCCTGCAATATAATCAGCCTCATGCATAAGAACAAGCAGATGGAACACTATGAATAAAAATGACATTAAATTTGGCTATGGAATACCTAGTTGATATCACTATTGCTTAGAAGTAACATCAGGCAACTCACAAATTTCTGATACAAACCATAGCAGGAAGGGAGTGCTATCCATATTGAAGTGTTTGTTCTTAGCTAACTCATTTCTGTGTATCATTCTCTACAGGTGGCATTGGCTGCGTGGGTCGAGACAAGGGCCAGGTTCGAAAGTGTCTGGATGTGGTGGAGATATATAACCCTGATGGGAACTTCTGGAGAGAGGGCCCACCTATGCCAAGTGCCATGCTTTCTCTTCGAACCAATTCCACCAATGCCGGAGCAGTGGATGGGAAGCTCTATGTCTGCGGGGGATTCCATGGAGCAGGTACTGATATATTTTTAAATGTTTTCTAACCTCCTGTGTTGATGATTGAGCTTCTTAACAGACCCAGTCACCAAAGAATAATCCTAAGAGCAATATGAGCACTGGCAAAAGCATGAATTTTAGTGTTCAGTGACCTTGAGCAACTCACTAAACCTTTGAACTTGAGTTTTCATGTCTACAAAACGGAGCTACCACCTCCAAAGGATATTGTAAGAATAAAATGAGATTTAGTTTATAAAGTGAATATGAGGAGAAATGGGGGAGGGAAGGCTAATCTCTGATTATAGGACTGAATAAGAAATCTTTTTTTTCTTTTTCTTTTTTTATTGTTGACACTATTATAGATATTCCCCATTTTCCACCCCTTTTCCCACCTCCACCCAGCCCCTGCACCTCCCAACCCCCCAGCCTTCACCACACAGTTGTCTGTGTCCATGGACTCTGCATATATCGATATATTCTTTGGCTAATCACTACATCTTCCTTATCCTTTAACCAACATCCCCCTCTCCTCTTCTATGTGTCAGTCTGTTTCACATATTCATGCCTCTGGTTCTATTTTATTTGTTAGTAATTTTGTTAATTAGATTCCACATATGAGTGAGATCATATGGTATTTGTCTTTCTCTGATTGGCTTATTTCTCTTAGCATAATTATCTCCATGTCCATCCATGATGTCACAAAGGGTAAGAGTTCCATCTTTTTTACAGCCACATAGTATTTCATTGTGTAAATGGTCTACAGTTTTTTTTTTTTTTTTTTTTTTTTTAATCCACTCGCGTACTGACGGACACTTGGGCTATTTCCAGATCTTGGCTATTATAAATAACACTGGGATGAACATAGGAGTGCATAAATTCTTTCTGATTGTTGTTTTGGGATTCTTAGGATATAGACTCATAAGTAGGATCATTGGGTCAAAAGGCAGTTCCATTTTCCCTTTTATGAGGAAATTTCATACTCTTTTGCACAGTGGCTGCACCAGTCTGCCTTCCCACCAACAGGGTGTCAGTATTGCCATTTCTCCACAACCTCACCAGTACTTGCTTGGCTAATGTCAGGCACTGCCTGTGACAGGCGTGGGGCTGGCTATTTGGAGCTACAAAGTGATCACAGTTTGTGGCTGTCGCTGCTGTGCCTGGGTGTGTGGGGGAGAGGCCAACCTGTGTAATAAGTCTGGCTTCCACCAGCTCCAAGCCTGGAGGCCTCTCAGCAAAAGGCCCACGGCACCCCCATTTCTGCTTTTGCCTGCCAGCTGTCAGTGAGAGCTTCTGGTAGCACATGTCTTGTTTGAGATTGGTTCTCGGTGAGTCACCAGGTAGCGGCAAGTGGTGTTCACCAGACTGATACAGACTCAAATTCGGTGCCCGTGCTGGGTCTGAAGTCACTCAGCAAAAATCCTAGGGACACCTATGCCAGCTGCCACCTGCCACCTGCCAGAAGCCTGGTGACCTTTATGGTGGGACAGAGTCTCCAGGAATCATCAGGATGAGGTCAGCAAAGTCCATTATATTCTAACAGACCAAGATTTGGCCGTGTGAAGGGGAAATGGCTCTCTCCCAAGCAACACAACTCAGTCTCTCCCTGATCCTGCTTGGACCTTTTTAAGAACTTTCCTAGAGCTTTTTTTTTTTTCTTGGTGCACCGGAAAGAGGCGGTCCTCTTTCTTTGCCTAAGGCAGCCATGGCTCGTGGTCCCAAGAAGCATCTGAAGCGTGTAGCAGCTCCAAAGCATTGGATGCTGGGTAAACTGACCGGTGTGTTTGCTCCTCGGCCATCTACCGGTCCCCACAAGCTGAGAGATTGTCTCCCTCTCATCATTTTCTTAAGGAACAGACTTAAGTATGCTCTAGAGGAGATGAAGTAAAGAGGATCTGCATGCAGTGGTTTATTAAGATTGATGGCAAGGTCCAAACCGATATAACCTACCCTGCTGGTTTTATGGATGTCATCAGCATTGACAAGACTGGAGAGAATTTCCGCCTGATCTATGACACTAAGGGCCGCTTTGTTGTTCATCGTATTACACCTGAGGAGGCCAAGTACAAGTTGTGCAAAGTGAGGAAGATCTTTGTGGGCACAAAAGGAATCCCTCATCTGGTAACTCATGATGCTTGCACCATCCGCTACCCTGATCCGCTCATCAAGGTGAACGACACCATTCAGATCGATTTGGAGACTGGCAAAATTACTGATTTCATCAAGTTTGACACTGGTAACTTGTGCATGGTAACCGGAGGTGCTAACCTGGGAAGAATTGGCGTGATCACCAACAGGGAGAGGCACCCTGGTTCTTTTGACATAGTTCATGTGAAAGATGCCAATGGCAATAGCTTTGCCACCTGGCTCTCCAACATTTTTGTAATTGGCAAAGGCAACAAACCATGGATTTCCCTACCCCGTGGAAAGGGTATCCGCCTCACCATTGCTGAAGAGAGAGACAAGAGACTGGCGGCCAAACAGAGCAGTGGGTGAAGTGAGCTCTAGGTAACATGACTGGAAAAGTCTTTGTACTTTATTAAAGATAATACAGCATGAAAAAAAAAAAAAAAAAGAACTTTCCTAGATAGTCTGCATCATGAACTCAGGCTAGCTATAGCCAGTTGACTCCTCTGCAGAGTGTGATGGCAAGGAATCAGGAGGGTGGGGCTAGTGCATTTCCTTCATCAGATGCCTATGGAGGGAATGCTGGATGCAGGAAAAATTGGGCAGTATGAGAGGAGGACTCAGTACAGGGAGCCTGGTGGCTGTCCCTTCAGCTCTCTTCCCAGAGCCACACAACCCAATCTCTCCTTGCATGACTACAATCCACTCTGAGCCACCCTCCCTCTCTTGGCTGCAAATGAGATTTTGTGTGCTGGACCTTTAAGAGGGTGGCTGGGTTTCTTAGCAGACTTGGGTCTCTCTCTGGCAGACAGAATCCCCACTGATGTTTACAGCCAGGTGTTATGTGGGCTCTTCCCAGCGCTGGTACTCCTGGCATGGGTATCTGGTGTGGGCTCAGAGGGGACCTTTGCAGCTGAGCTATCTCTCTGGATTCTCAGCTACCATATTGTGTGTGTGGCCAGCCCTTTTCACATTTCTGCCCTTCCTATCAGTCTCAATTTGTCTTCCTTCTATAAATCCTTGGTTATGAGATTTATGTTCCTCTAGTCTTCAAGTTGATTGTTCTATAATTTAGTTGTAATTCCAGTTTGGTTTTGGGAGGAGGTGATTGTAACTTACACCTACTCTGCTGCCATCTTGTATCCCTGATAAATTTATAAATTATAACAATTTATATTTACCTAATAACAGACTCAAAATGTGTACACTAAAAGTTGATAGGAGAGCCCTAGCCAGTTTGGCTCAATGAATAGAGCATCAGTCTGTGGACTGAAGGGTCTCAGGTTCGATTCCGGTCAAGGGTCTGTGCCTGAGCTGCAAGCTCCATCCCCATTATGGGGCGTGCAAGAGGCAGTCAACTAATGATTCTCTCTCATTGTTGATGTTTCTATCTCTCTCCCTCTCCCTTCCTCTCTGAAATCAGTAAAAATATATTTTTTAAAAGTGGGTAGGAGAAAAAGACAATTCCATAATCTTACTGGGATGTTTTTATTGCAACTCTCTCAGTAACTGACCAAACCAGCCCACAAAAATCAGTGAATGTGAGGAAGAGTAGAATAACATGACCTAATTAACACATATGGATTACTACACCCAACAATTACAAAATACACATCCTTTACAAGCACACATAAGCCATTCATTTTTATATGCCAGGACTGGACACTTTTTGATATATTATGTCCTCTAATCATAACACAGTTGTGAAAAAGACAGCTGGGCTGGAACTCTTTCATTTGCCCCTGCAGACTCACCCTGTCCTTCTCTATCATGCAGTCTGTCTTTCAAAGCTAACCTGTATGGATTCCATTCATGGCTCCTTTCCCCTCTGGCTTCTGGTTAGGTTCAGCCAATTGGAGCCTATGTATTCTCCCCGCCCCCTCCCTGCCGAGGATGGATGCATCCCGTCTTCCCCTCCCTAAATCTGCCCCTGCCAGGCAGCACCCTCCAGACAGCTGCCCTCTGCAAGTCCCAGTACCCATTCTCCCCTGGTGCCTTCCATGTGGCAATGGCCCTTGCTGTTGTTAGTCCTGGGGTGCTGTGCCATGCCCGTGGGTCTTCTCAACATTGCCCACACCTTCCCAACAGGCCCTTTCTAAACTCTTCAAATTACCCAGTTAGAGTGTGCCATGTTTCCTGCAAGGACCCTGGCTGTGTATTAGCATCTCTGTCTGCATTTAAGAAAACATAAGCTCACCCTGGCTGGTTTGGCTTAGTGAATAGAGTTTTGGCCTACAGACTGGAGGGTCTCGGGTTCAATTCCAGTCAAGGGCACATGCCCCAATTGCAGGCTTGATCCCCAGTGGGGGGTGGGCAGGAGGCAGCCAATCAATGATTCTCATCATTGATGTTTCTCTCTCTTTTCCTCTCTGAAACCAATAAAATAATTTTTTTTTTAAAGAAAGAAAATGTAAGCTCAAGGAAGTCAATGACTCACACAGGTCATATGACTCCAGCTATACCTCCTTTCACAGGTGTAGAAATAGAACAGTTTTGTCTCTTGCCCTCAGCATCAATAAATCATTAACATAACAGTGGAACAGCCTTTCAACTTTAGACAATCAGTGTGTCTTCAATAAATTTTTAATGTCAGTTGTAACTTGGCCTTTCTTCGTTTCTTAAATGTCAGGAAAACTGTCTTCCATTTGTACCTTGATTATTTTTGTTGTTGTTGTTGTTAATTTTTAGTCTTTTAGAGAAAGTTATTTAATACAGTGATTATGAATTCTGAATTTAATGCCCCTATAATATTTTATCTTCCCACTTTGCTGTTTTTCAGATCGCCATGAGATTATCTCCAAAGAAATATTGGAGTTGGACCCATGGGAAAACCAGTGGAATGTTGTAGCTGTCAATGTCCTCATGCATGACAACTATGATGTCTGCCTGGTGGCCAGAATGAATCCTCGAGACCTCATCCCCCCACCTTCAGATTTGGTGGAAGAAGGCAAGGACCACTGAGGTCAGCATTGTTACAGATCCTCTGTTGTGTCTGCAAAGGAGATGTTAGGAATGGAGAGAGCTCATGGGCATCCATACATGTGCTTTGCATGCATAGTGGCCCGTGTGCAAAGCAGCTTGTGATGGGCACTGCAAGGAGGAGTGTGCAGAGTCCAACCTCAGGGACCCCCACTTGGTTAGGGTGGACAAGACATTACAAAGACTGAATGTGGTGATGTCACAAGGGGATAGAGGGTGAGTGCCACAGAAGTGCAGGGAATGGAGGACTCTCACTCTGCGGGGGACTCAAGGACAGCATTGCCAAGAAGCAGGCCTTCATCAGCGCCTCGGAGGATGAGGAGGAAGCAGGCCCATGTGTGCAATTGATAGTGAGATCACAGATAGCTGAGTGAAGGCCAGAGGTGGGCCAGGCTGCCTGGACCACTGCCTTTGCTATAAAGGTTAGAAAGTTAGATTATGCTAAATGACCAATATTTGGAAGACCAAGGCCTTTGGTCTCTAAACAGGGAAATGATCTCAAAATAGTGATGTGAAGGAAGACTTGTCTTTGTACTGTGTTCTGGCTTCAGTCTTATAAAGACTGTCTATTCTCATGCAGAATACTCTTCGCTGCAGAAACATTGTCCAAAAAAGGGCTAGCAATGGACTGACTGTAAGTTCCTAAGAGCCCAGGCATTCAATCCAACCACAGTGAGCAGAGGAATTCCACCCTGGGCTGGGTCTGTATCAGTGAAGAAGATACAGGGTTCTATAGCCATGGTCCACTCTTGGGTTGGTACAGAGGGTCCTGGATTGGACCTACTCAAGCTGCCCTTGACTAGTTCTCAGACACACAAGGCTTTCCACAGGCTGGTACTGGCTGAACACAACTGGCCTACACCATCCAAACCAGGCACTGACCAGTCTCTGGAGTAAAGAGAGGAAGCATACCTCTTTGGCAGCCGGCTGCCCTCTTAAGGCCAGTCTTTGCACTAGCTTTCCCAAGGAGGAAAGGGAAGGATGGAACCTCCTGCTTCAGCCCGCAGTTGAGCATAGTTAGAAAATGGCCACTCCCGAAATACATCTTAGGGATGACATTTAAACAACAGCAGGGAAATCCATCTATTTTACTTACCTTCTATACTTCTGGAAGCACGGTGGATTCAAAGGATGCATTTTGATCCCTGATCTTTGACAACTTCTCCAGAGTTTCACCTTACACAGGCTCCCTTTTAAGTAGGAGTGGTTAGTAAATTCCCTAGAACTTGGCTTCAGGCAGATATTCTTAGATGAGGATAGTTCTTCTCTGGTGTAGAGTTGTGTGATTTTTGTGACCTCTCTTCCATGTCCCCAGGTTCTAGCCATTAAACTAGGCAGGAGGGATGGGTCCATGGATATGAGCCAGTTATAAACCTGCTCCTGCCACCATGATGGGGGGGGGGGGTGGAGTGCCCAGTTAGACCCAAGGTAGGTTGTCCTCTAGTAGGCTAGATAGGGCAGGAGCCATGTCTGTTTCTCTACAGTTGTACCCAAGTGCCCACTGCAGTGCCTGGCACAGAGTAGCAATTCTCAGTCTGAGGGCTGGGTCTCTGAGCATTTCCAGGAATCTGAGGTAAATGAGTTGATTCTTCTCCCTGGTGGAAGGTCTTCTAATCCATGGATTATTTTCTCGCTGAAAAGGCAGAGCAGTTCTTCCCCAAGGGCTGTACTGGCTGGTGGTGTTCATGGTGGAGGAGCATCCCCACAGGTCGCTGCTTGCCTAACCTCCTCTTAATGGGACCCCTGCACCTGCTCCTATTTAAACAGAAGCTGTCACATTTCCCTGGATCAAGGAGGCCTTGCTAGCATGTCATGACACATTTCTAGATGCATTGGGTTTCAGATCTAGGCTTTAGTCCCAACTCTACCTAGCTAGCTGTGTGATCTGGGGCAATATAACCTTTCTAATGCCGTATTTTCCTCATATACAAAATGGGAAGAAAAATGCCTTATAGGGTTGGTGTGAGGATTGAGTGAGAAAACGCTGACCAAAGTGTGTGTAAGACACTAAAACGGTAAACATTTATTAGCTGCCATTATTATTATCATCATTACTGTTGCACTCAACATTTCCCAACGCATAGTGCCCAGAACAACCTGGCGCTTGAGTGCAATCTCTTGGGGTTCTAGGGAGAGATGTGGATGTGGTTTGAGACAATTCTTAATTTCCCAGACCCAGCCTTTTGGCTCCTCCATATGGCGTGCTAAACAAACAGGGTTTGCTTTAGTGTTTTCTTAAGCTCTGGTGTTTCTTGACTGACTTTCACATTTGTAATTCAAAACTAGACCCTTCTGCCCTCCTGTTGTTTCATATTGGTAGAGATTCATCTTTGAAACAACATTTTCCTCTCAATCCTTTTTCATTTTAACTGAATGCTGCCCAATATCACATGGAGGGCTCTTGTAAAACTTTGGCTATTTGCTAGTTCTTCTCTTTATGAAGCAGGATTGCTTAACACTGAGCAATGTATCCTAAACGGGAAGTGATTTGGATGCTGAGGCTGATAGAAGGTTGCAGCTGTCAAGCACACCCTGGTTCAGTTTGTGTTCATAAAGAAAGCATCATTATTCTCTCTGATTGACTTTATAATGAGCCAAATGCTTTGAATTTGAACTTACAAAACTTTACCAATAAACGATCACTTTCATCTTATTTTTTCTTATTGCAAATCCATGTCAGTTTCATTTGAAGAAGGGGTTCCTATGCCCAAGATGTGCTGAGCATCTCCAGAGTGGGCTAATGACCAGCCAACAGAGCATCAGGAGCAAGGCAACTGGACAACTCAGGCATAGTTGCAGCATCCTACGGGAGGCCACGCCCACCCTGCAGCATTAAGTAACTCAGCAGTAGATAATCTCCAGTGGCATGAAGCACAGGGAAAATACACATGTTGGAAAGAGTAGTTGAAGCTTCAGATCCCAGCCAAACATGAGGCTTTTCACCAGCAAGGACACTTCCTTCCCATCAGAGGCATGATTTAAGGCCCAGCAGCCTTGCTGAAAGCTCATTTCTCTGCCCTCCCAGTGCTGTGAGTCTTAGAGCAACGTTACCAAAGGGAATAGTGCCAGTCCTGGGTCTGCTTCATCCCAGGGGGTGTGCCATGCGAGAGTGGACCAGGGAGAGGGCAGAGGCCCCCTGGGGCATGGATCTGACAGCACCTGGCTCCAGATAAACGTCACTCTCTCCTCCTTTCCCTATCTCTACTCAATCCATATAGCTGCTCAGCCCCGAACTAGGCACTACCAGGATTCCCAGAATAAAGCTAGAGAACATCTTGCCGCTGCTCAGAGAGAAGACATGCAGGAAGAAGATCAAGAAGCTGGTCAGTTGAGCGCTTCCTCTGAGCCAGGCACTGCTCAGGGCAGAGAGACGTGATACAAGGCCGAGCTCTCACCCAGTTCACATCTGGAGAAGAAAAGAGATGTGCAAATACAGCGACATGGCACCTTGTGAGAGGTTAGAGTCTAAACCCACATCAGGCAAAAATGCAGTGTAATTATCCCTGCATTTGCTTCCTATTGCTGCCAAACAAATCTTTACACACTCCGTGGCTTCATTACAACACACACTTATTCCTACACTTCTGCAACTCAGAAGTCTAACGTGGATCTCTGTGAGCTGAAACTGGAGTGTCTACCAGGCGGCACTCCTTCCAAAGCTCTGGGAAGGGTCTGTCCTTGCCTTTTTTAGGAGGCCGATGGCATTTCTTTTTTTCTTTTTCTTTTTTTAATTATTATCTGTGTACATGTTTTAACATTGCCCTCCCCTCCCATAAATATCCTCCCTCCCCAGAGTTTTACATGCATATAAGTACAACCGATGGCATTTCTTAACTTGCGGCTCCTTCCTCCATTTCCATATCCAGCCATCTTCTTGCCCCGCCCTGCTCCTGCTATCACACTCCCTGTTGGACTCCCTCTCCCACTTTGTTGTTGTTGTTAATCCTCACCTGAGGATATTTTTCCCATTGATTTTCTTTTTTTTTTTTTTAGAGAGAGTGAAAGGGAAGGGGAGAGACAGAGAAAGTAAGATCCTTGAGAGAGAGAGATGCATCAATTGGTTGCCTCCTGAAGGTGCCCGACCGAAGTACGTACCCTTGATCAGAATCAAACCCATGACCCTTCAGTCCACTGAGGAAAAGAGGCTCCTCTCCCACTTTTAAGGAGCCTCTGATTACACTGAGCCCACTCAGATATTCAGGATATCCTTCCGTCTTAAGGTAGGCTGACCAGTAACCTCATTCCCCTCTGTCACAGCGACTGGTTCCAGGACCTCCCCGTACCAAACTCTGCTGATGCTCAAGTCCCTTATTAAAGTAGACAGTAACTGCATATAACCTATGGACAGCCTCTTGTTTACTTTGAAATCATCTCCAGATCACATACATTACCTAATACAGCGTAAATGCTGTGTAAATAGTTGTTATGCTGTATTGTTTAATGACGAGAAAAAAGTCTGTACTTGTTCAGTACAGACACATCATAGACCTAACTACAGAGCACATATCAGTAACAACATAACATTTCTTTTTTAAAATATATCTTATTGATTTTTACAGAGAGGAAGGGAGAAGGATAGAGGGTTAGAAACACCGATGAGAAAGAAGCATCGATCAGCTGCCTCCTGCACACCCCACACGGGGGATGCATAGCAAACAAGGCACATGCCCTTGACAGTAATTGAATGTGGGACCCTTGAGTCTGCAGGCCGAGCCAAACCAGTTTCTGCACAACATAACATTTCTTTTCTTGAATATTGATCCGTGGTTGGTTGACTCCATGGATGTGGAACCCGCAGATATGGAGGAAGGACTGCACATTACAAGTTCCATGGATTAGGATGTTCATTTGGAGAAAACCATTATTCTGCCTAATGTCTAAGACCACCATGATTCTCCTGTGCACAGCCTGTGCAGAACTTCATGTGGACATGGAAGTTTGGGTGCCACCACAGATAACAACGGCAAATGGACATGCAGGTGCTCAGTCAGAGACCATCTCAGAGACCCCTGTGACATCCAGGGGGCGGGCAGTGACGAGGAAAGGCTCCTGCCTACGGGGTGACCTCCAATCTCCTTTAACATGAAGCCGTGCATGCGTTCCCCGGAAGTCAAGGAAGTGTGTGACACTAAACACGAGTCCTCACACAGGTTAGGTGGTTCTCTGGTTCGAGCAAAGTGGCCCAAACAGCGGAAGGATCCAGGGGGGGGGGAGGCTGTAGCCTTAGGGAGCTTTGGTGGGGCTCCCCTCACAAGCAAGTGACCAAGGGCTTGGGTTTGCTGGTCCTCAAACTTTTTAAAGTGGGGGCCAGATCACGGTCCCTCAGAGAGCTGGAGGGCCGGACTATATGAACTACTAATTCCTACTGTAACACCTCGGCTGCGCTCACTGCCCAAAAAACCTGGCGGGCCGGATCAGACTCCTCTGCGGGCCGCATGTGGCCCGCGGGCCGTAGTTTGAAGACGCCTGTAAGATGAACACGAAAGAGTAAGGGCATTCCAGGTGCAGGGGCAGCCTGTGCAAAGGCCCTGGCCTGGAAGAGGCCTGCTGTGCAGGAACGGAGAGCAGCTTTGGGCGGGCGGCTATATCAGCAGCCTGAGCCAGGCGGGGTGGGCCCTCATGGAAGCCAGGGTGGGACTTTATAAAGGTCATGCTGGTGGCCACACCTCAGGGTGGACAGGAGCAGGCAACCTGGTAGGAAGCTGTTGGCAGAATCCAGGTGGAGGCTGAGTGGGACAAAGGAACAAAGAAAATGAACTGTAGTCTGGCCAGTGCTGGAGTGGAGTGGAGTGGAGTGGAGTGGAGTGGAGTGGAGTGGAGTGGAATGGAAAGGACTCAGGACCCCTACACCCTGCTGCCTGACTGTGGGCTGGACCCGGCAGGCGATTCACTGCTGCTTCTGCATTTGCTCACCTGCACCACCTCCTGGCGAAGTGAGGCCAGGCGCTGGAGCTCCTGCACAGCGTCAGGCAGGATGAAGTGTTCTGAAGCCTTCCCGCTGTGGCTGCCAGGCAGGAGGTGAGAGGAATCAGATGCCCCAGCCATCCGTCCGGTAGCTTCATGCTGTGTCCTGAGACCTCCTCTCCCCACACCACCAGGGGACGAAGGTATGCTCCTTGGGGTCCCGCGGCTGCCCCTTTATTTCCCAGGGCCACTACATTAGGAATTTCTTGTCCTTTTGAAAAGCAGGGGACAGACTATAATTTCTCACTTTATAAAAGCAAAACTATAGGGGGGGGGGGGAACCTCAGAAATCACTCTCTGGTTTCTTTGCTTACTCAAAAGCAGAAGGAATCACCTTCCTTTCTGCCTATGTTTCTCGGTCACGTGCATCAAGAGTTCCCCTTGCTCCCGGGAGATATTTACACGTCCAGTAATTAAACCCCAGGAGGAATTTGGAATCTCCTGTGACTTCCCTGCCTCCCTTTGCACAGGCTGATGCTGCACCTGGAATGCCCTCGCACCCTTCCCAGAAGCGTCCCTACCGTGGCCTTTACTCTGTGTAGTGTACCAGCAGGGCTCACTGAGCCCCGTGCACCAGTCCCGGGCACAGAGCTGGCCATGGTGAGGAGGGGAGAGGTGTAGCAGAGAGGGCATCGGGGGTCTTCACGGAGGTGTAGAGGGCATGGATTGGGGGGTGGGAGAGACCAGGAAAAGGTTGGAAAATTCTGGAACTGCGTGGGTGCAGAATTGTGCAAAGAGAAGAATGGAGTGAGTCCCGGCACGACAGTTTGGCCAGCCCCGGTCTCAGCACCTGGGGCACCAGGCTGCCAAGTGTGGACTTCCCCAGGTGTCCAGACTCTAAGACAGGGAATGGCTGACAGGACTGGGATTTGGAGAGATGCATGTATGGAGGGGAGGACAGGGAACCCTGGGCAGAATATCCTCTACGCCCCAGCTTCACTGGGCCCCTTGGCCAGTCTCAGGTGGGGAGAGCGGTCAGGGGAAAGGCTTTATGACATTGAGGTACGGCTCCATCTCAGCCCAGTTTGCTAAGTGACCTAGGGGAAAACACTGGCCCTCGCTGAGCTGCAGCGAATGGCTTCTCTTAAAGGGGCAGATAGACCTAACCCCCTCTCCTCCCCACTCCAGGCCCTACATCTCACTCCAGTGAGAGAAAAGGCAACTGATGCCTAGTATCCAGAGGAGGGAATGAGGACTCAGGCTTGGGCCACATGTGCTGTGGAGAAGAGCCAATCACGGGGCTGAGGGAGAGCCAATGGACCGTCGGTAGATAAAGCAACTGGGCCTGTGCACCTGCCCCAGGTACCACCACCCTCCCCGGAAGGGGAGAAGGACTCCTTGCTGGAGAAGCCAGTGGCTTCAAGAAAAGACACCCCTCTGGCATTTCTTCCCCTTTTGGATGTCCCCCTGCTTCTCTACTGCCAAAGACACCTCAGGTTCCCTCAGGAATTCTGCTGCAGCCCAAGAATTATAAGGCATTGACCACCACCCCCTGTTGAGGGAGCCTGGCTGGATGGAGCTCTCCTGCTGGCTCCTGGGCCCAGCAACACATGGCCAGGGAGGGGAGCGGAGGCTCTGGGACAGCTTCTGCCACCTGGAGGAAATAGAGAAGCATTCAGCCTGGAGCTGGCTGGGGCCAGGAGGGTCAGCCACCGACAAAGCTGGTACCGTGAAGTGGAAATACACAGCATTTTTATACACCAATA